CTCTCTGTCTCTCTCTGTCTGTCTGGCGAGCACACACGCCCTATAGCAGAAACCTCTCCAAAAAAAAGAAAAATTGAGTGTATAAGTGACCACTCATATACTCGTGAGCTTAGCCATGAGCCATTACCCATGACCTGATAGAATACGTGATGCCAGGGAAAGGCATCTATGATCCATTCAGTACAAAATGCAGATCACTGAGCTACATATACATACATATCATGTACATATATACCTCATGTTGATACACACACAGACATATATGTGATGAATCTGTTTTGTAAATTAAAAACATTTACCCAATTTCAGGGAAAAACTGGAAGAATGACAACTAAAATGCCAAGAAATGTCAGTTTAGGTGGTCTCAGTTTTTTCTACAAGGAAGGTATGCTTTTGGATATGTAAACCATTATTTTCAAAACCCATATCTAACCCAGGGAAGGGCCCTCTGGCCCTGATTCATGCTGTGTAAGACTGGCAGAGCCTGTACAGCTGGAGACAGTGGCCGCGGCCACCCTGAGGGGTCACAGATGCTATGGAGCATATCATGTGCTTGCTCCCGCGGGGGGCACTTCCTGAGGGGTACCCATGTGCTTCTCTCCAGTGCGTCCTACCCCCCCCGCCACGTCCAGCCCTGCCATCTCTATCCATGAGGTGGGACATACTGGTGTCACCAAAACCGAGAGGAGCGGCATTAACAGACTGAGGAGTGAGATGAAGCAGGTACGAACACGGGTACGAACACTTCGGCAGCGGAGGCAGCCACAGCAAGGGGGCAACGCTGCTTTCCCTGCCTGGGCTCACCCCAGAAAGGGATAGAAAGACCAGGCATGCAGCTTAGGCTGCTGTTTGTAGAGGGTGCGAGGCCCCTTCTGTCCTGGGACCTGAACAGAGCATATCCCAGCGCCATTCACGGGCACCCACACATCCTTTACCTTAACCCGTTATATGAACGTTCCAGAAAACATCCTTGTCCGCGTTTGCCTCTGTTCCTGAGAACTGCTTGGGCCACGGCTGTTTCTAAAGGACAGTTGTGCAAAAAGTAGTGTTTTCTCTCCATCAGTCGTGGCTTCCGGCTGACATGATGAGAAAGGTCTGGAAATAGTATTGCTCACGATTCCTGGATAGCCATCACCCAGAGGTGTCACTTTTTCTTTCTTCATCTTCATTTCATTCACAGTAAAAACATCTTGCTGCACTGACCCCACAGGTCGGCAGCTCAGTGACCGTCCAGTCCTCATATGCCAGGTGCCATGCTAGGACGTGGCTGGGATCTACGGTGGGAAATCGAGTTTCCTTCTGACCGTGACCTGCAGTAAATGCACCCCAGTTTTCTATTTCAGATGCTGCCCACTAGGCAGAGTTGGTGGCGCTCTACTGGGTCACCCCCTGCAGCCCGGTCAACATGTCCCAGATGAGCAGAGGGCGGGAGGAGTAGCAGGGTGTCCTTGACGCAGAACTGGGTGTTGCTTACTTCCTGATGTGTTTTCACTTTCAGATGACTAGGCGGTTTAGTGCCGACGAACAGGTGAAACACCTTCGCTTCATCTGTCTTCTGTGTGTGCTTTGCCTTCTTTCTGGCTTGAATGTGGAAAGCGAGGCGGATACGCAGTGTGATGTGTGGAGGATGGCTTGCCATCCAACTGGCCTCAGCAGAGGCAACTACACAGGCCACACAGACAGCCCCTGGGGACAGGTGGAGAGCAGGACTGAAGGATCGGAAGTGACCTTGCCCGTGCCTTTTAAAAAGCAATCAGGCTCTCAGCTCTGTAGGATACTTTGTGAAGGAGATAGTCCAGCTCTGCCTCAGTGGAAGCTCCTATTCGAAAAGAGGGAGCTAAATAGGGCGAAAGTCAGTAGAAAGAATTCTGCTGTGCTCGACCCAGATGGCCTGGGGGATTTAACCTGGAGGGGGAAATGCACGAATGTCCTCTTGTATATCACCTCTTCCCTCCAGGGATTGGAGTCGCTGGGAGAGTCTACAGGATACATCTGCTGGCATGTAAATGCAGCTCCCACATGTCAGAGGGTAAAACATATAAGGGCCCTTCAAAAAGTCATGGGAAAATGGAAATCAAATAGGAGTTTATTTTTGGAGCAGAAAAAATTTTGAAATCCCTGCCTAGGTTTTCGAAATACTATGCATTTTCAATGACCTTTTTGAAGACCCCCCTCATTCTTGCTCTCATTCGAAGTTATGTCCTTTGCAAGTGAGGAGCCGACTTTTGAAACATCTTCCTTTGCCAGCCACTCGGTGGCACCGTCCCTCTGTCACTCACATCCCGATGGTCTGACCATGGGTGAATATGGGCAGTTCCTTCCGTCTCCTTTCATGTTCTGGGGACAAAATGATCACCTTCTTCTCTGATGGGTTTGCATTCAGCTAGCCAGAGTAAGTTTGGGTTCGGAGCTATTTTGCCAAGGAGATATATTATTAGTCCCTGTTCAAAATGTGATAGCTGCCATGGCCTTGTAAATCTCTACCCACTTCTGCCAGAAAACTGTGTGTACAGAACTCTGTACCATGCAAGTTAGGGTAGGGCCTGGATTTTTACACAAGGAGATCATCTGAAAATGCTGAGTGCAAGTCATCAGCCTGGCCGTAACTGCTCATTCCACAAATGCCCATGAATGCCTGCGAGGCACCAGTCTTTAGTGCCAGTTGGGCCATTTCCTGGATCTTTATAGGTTTTTCACAACTCAGGATAAAACCTTAGAATCTCGTGACTGGGACTTTGGAAGACAACTCATATCCTAAGTTGATTAGGCACCCTCCACATACAGCCCAGCCCTGGTGATATTAATATGTTTTAAAAGATCATTTAGCAAGTTCTGTAAGGAGCAGGAGCCTAAGGCTGTGCTACCGGGTGCTTTCTGCAGCCAGTGACCCATGGTTCCGGGGAGCTTCCTGCCTACCTTCTCTGCCCCTTCCTCCCGTGGTGTCTTGGCGCTGCTCTGTGGTCTTCCTCTCCGTCCGCATTTCGGTGTCCTTCCACATGACCGAGTCAACTCTTTTTGTTTTGTAGTTCTTTTCCATGGGCCAGGCCGCGTCCAGCAGTGCGCATTCCACCAAGTTCGCGGTAAACGTGCGGGGGGACCCTCCTGGCCTCCGTGCCCCTCCTTTGCAGCACTGAACCCTCTGTTGGCCTCTGTCGTGCTCCCACCTCATCCCCAGCTTTCTGAGATTTGAGCAGGGGTGAAGCGTTTTTATGTGAGGCTGGCGGTCTCGCCCTGTATTCCAAGGACAATCTAGCAGGAAGGCTGAACTCTTGAACTGACCTTTGTTTTCCAGCTTGGGCCCCCGGTTCTCTGCTTTTGCTCCTCCAGGCAACGTGTCAAGTCCCAGGAGCTTCGAGAACCTTCAGAGCATTGGTTCCGTGCCTTGTCATCAAGCCACAGTGGTGAACCCTTGCACACACATCTGGCCCACTCTTTGCACTCACAACAGTCCAGCCTGGCCCGGGCCGGCTCAGGCGGAGGCCCAGGCAGCCTCCTCATTGCAGAGGCGAAGCCGGCTCTCCTGAAAAACCAGAAGGGAGAATTCAGCCTAGTCATTGATGAGTGCGACTCTAATTACTTTTATTTGTGTCTAATCGTTGCCTTATTTAAATGGCACCAATGAGCGCTGTGGAATAACCCAGCCTAACTGCCTTTTCAAAATAAGATCTGAAGGCAGAGCGAGAGCAGAGAGGACCCCAGCTCGGCCCTGCTGGTGTGCTGACGTTTGGATGGCATTTTTAAACCTGTACAGTTGATGTCACATAGCAAGAAATGCAACTGCCCAGTCATCCCGAGCAGAGAGGCAGGAGGATGGAGGTTACCTCCTCCTCCAGCCGGAGACCCAGGGGCACGCGAGGATGCAGCCCCAAGGAGGAGCAAGCCAGTGGCCTGGAGCAAGGGACCCGACTGAACCAGCCCTGCTCTAGGGCCCCATGCAGGGAGTGTCTGGGAGAGCTGCCTCTTGCTGGGGGGAGGGGGCGCTGGAGTAGGGCCAGCCTCAGGCAGGGAGCTGGGAAGATGGGCCCTGTTCCCCACTTTGCTCCCACGAAGCCTGTGTTCCTAGCTTGGAGGCAGCCATTGTCCCAGATTGGGATAAAGGCCAGGACCAGGAAGAGCAGAAGGCAGGCCCAAACGCGCTGGGTGTGCACCCTCACTGACCCCAGGCCCTGCTCGCACTCACCACGGATTCTGGCCTAAGCTCTCAGCCTTTGCCTCTAGACCCTTTCCCTGGGCCCTGCGTTGCTTTGTCTGTGACACAAGAGCAAATGGACACTTTAGCATTTGTCTTCCTGGCTGCGGCCACCGCTGATTCCTGGCTGCGGCCACCGCTGACAGGCTCCCCTGCTCTGCAGGCCTGAGCCCCACTTTCCTCTGCCGTGAGTGCGGGCACCCTGCCGGGCATGCTCTTGGTCCTTCCCAGGCAATGAGTGCCCCCAGATGGCTTTTCAAAGGTGGGCTGGCGGTGTTCCCACGGCACAGCTGAGAACGAGGCCCGGAGGTTCCGTTAGTGTCGGGGGTGGGCGGGTGATCTCTGTGGGTGTTGGCATAGCTAGGGCTGACTGGGGTAGGACCCTAGCAGCCAGAACCCAGAGCCCAGGCTGCCCCCGCTTGGCCTCCTCCCTGTGAGTTCAGGGTCCTTTGGGTGTTGTACATCCTCTTGGGAGCAGGGCAGGGCATGGATTGAGTTGTCGCCAAAGCAGGACCTGAAAGGTTAATCTGGTGTCAAGAAAGGTACAAGGTGGCCTGCTCTGGGCTCCCCGTGCTGTCCTTCATGATGGCCCTGTGGCTCTGAGTGCCAGGTGCTGTCTGTCTTGCAGAGGTCCAGCACCCCATCATCACCCACCGGCACGTCGTCATCAGACTCGGGAGGCCACCATATTGGCTGGGGGGGGCGGCGGGGGCGCAGGGCGGGGGGCGCCGGTGGGTTTTTTTTTGGGTCCCTGTGGGGTTCTACCAGAAGGTGGGGAAGATTCTGCAGAAGGTGAGCTCGGCCGTCATGCCGCACGTGCTGCCATCGTGCTGGAGGGACACACCCTCAGGGAAGTGAAGCATCCCCTCACCATCTCTGCAAGGCAGGGGGCACCTCTGGGGATTAGACTGTGAATTGCCCCGACCTTGAACCCTGTGGAATAAGCCAGCACCAGGTCACTCCAGTGGGGGCTGGGCTCTGTGCTATAGAATGGAGAGTGGCACCCCGGCCTGTACCCACTAGGTGACAGTAGTGACAACCGAAAGTGTCTCCAGGCATTGCCACGTGGCTCCTGGGAATAATGTTCCCTGGCTGAGAACCACAGGCAGGAACCATAGCAAGTAAGACCCGGTGGCAGCCCAGGTTGTAGGGGCTGCCTTTGGCATTTGGGGTGTAGAAGGGCAGAACGTAGGGCCAGGCAGTGGGACAGCCACAACACAACTGGACCCACATGGGGCGGGTCCTGGGTTTGCGTCCTCGAGCCTCCCTGAGCACGCAGGCTCATGTCCGTGATTGGGACGGGCCGACCCTGCTGGGAGTGCCTCTCTCTCTCTGTGTGTCCCTTTGTCTCATGGACAAAATAAATTAAAAAGAAAGAGTCAGAACAGAGACAGAGACTGAAGGCAGGGCAGGCTCTAGATGAGAACACAGCAACGGAGCGGCCTTGGTCCCGGAATGACCATTCAGGAGGGGTCCGGATCCTGCCAGGCAGGCATGGCGTCCCTGTCACGCGCGAACCCAGTCCCAGTTGTAGGCAGGGATGACCTGGTATGTGCCTGGTCGCAGGGGGCATACACAGATGGAGAGCTTCCAGGGCCTGCATGCCCTGAAGGCATGGGGGCCCCCAGACCCGCTCTCAAGCCAGCTGCCTGCTTCTCCTGCAGCCACCAGACAGGGCTGCATTTCCCTCTGCCCGGAGTCATCAGCATCTCACTAGCAGCTGGCACTAGGAACAGATGCGAGGTGTCCAGGCCGCAGACTGTGCGCTGGTGGCCAAGGAGGGGGCAGCTGGGAAGACGGGCACCTTGTTCTCGACATCCCACGTTCTATCTCCCTTCTCCATCAGCCCTGGAGCATCCCGGCATCTCCCTGGGCCTCCCTGGGGAAGTTCCGAGGGCCCTCCTTGCATGGAGGGACAGTAGGTGTCAGGTTAAAAACTACTACTACTACTTTTAAAATAATAATTTATTTAATTCCATTTGTTATTATTGTTTTTTAATTTGACCAGAGAGAGAGAAAGGGAAAGGGAGAAAACAAGCCGCCAAGTCCGGGATTTGAACCATGGTCAGCCATGTGGGAGTCCAGCACCTTTAACACCATGCCTCTTGCCAGCCCCTCAGTTAAAAACTTCTACAAAAACTGAGACAGATCTTCTTTCTAAATGATGTTTAAAGTTTTATTTATTTTCTCCGTGAGAGGACACCCTGGACAGTATCTTTACACCACCATCCTCTCCTAGCCCTGCAGCCAGCCGGAATCACAGGTGCCCCCACGTGTCGGAGCAGACCTGGGAACCAGACCCAGAGCCTTCCCACATGCTCCCTAGCATGGCGCAGCTGTGTCCCTACTGGCACTGCTCTGGCGGAGCTGGAAAGGTTCCTTTTTAGCTCGTCTCACAGCTGGAGAGGGACAGAGCACCCAGATGAGAGCATGGGGCAAACCCTGCCCACAGCCTGGTACATTCGCCCCCTGTTCTCTGTGCCGCAGGGGGCCTGGCCAGCTTGGGGCCCGAGGCCTCCCTCCCAGAGCAGGCCCTCAGCCTCCAGTGGCCTCGACCTCCTTCCTTGGCGCTTTTTAGGAGGCAGAGTGTCTACTGCTGCTCCTGCCTTGGCCTTGGGGACAGGGTGGCAGCTGCCAGCTAGGGTGCTGGACTTAGAAGGTAGCCCATCAGACCGGAGCACACTATTCCTAGAAAATCTCCCTGCTCTTCCGGGGGCATCACACGCTCCATCCGGACCTCCACGAGCACAACATCGAGATGCTTTTATTATGAAAAAGCAGCATTTCGCGTGGAGCCGGCGCTTGGTATTTATATACACGGCGTGTGTGTGCGTGTGCGTGTGCGTGTCTGTGCATGTGCTCGAGGCTTTTGTGATCAGTGCTTATTATAGAAATCGCAAAAATAGATGCCTGTGAAGGCACAGAAGCCTCACTTCGCCAGCAGGGGCCATGAAAAGCTCCCTTTATTATGGTGCCAAAGGGGTCCTCACTGTCACCAGAGCCTGGTTGCCAAGTGAGATGTGGGGCCCCCAAGGAGGACTCGGAAGCACCCCAGAGCATTGTTCGTGCGGATCTGAGAGATGCCTGCTGGCTCCCCTAGAATTGTTCCATGGAAAACACAGCCTGTGGGCAGTGAGAACAAGCGCTCTAAAAATAGCTCTGACAGTCTGGCGTGTTCCAGCCCTTGTGCAGGTTTCCAGGGCAGAGAGCTCCGGGCGTGCGCGTGCGTGTGCGCCTGCGCGTCCTGGACAGTCTGTGCGTGTGCCTGCGCGTGTGCCTGCGCGTGCGTGTGACCACACACTTCCTGGCCTGCCGGAATGTGACCGGCGTTTGTGTTCTGCCTGCAGTGCCATGGCCTCTCCATCGATGGTTACGTCCTCCCGTCCTCGACCACCCGAGAGGTATGACGAGACAACCCCGGTGCCGGCCCGCCCGTGCAATTACAAGAAGTGCCCTATTTCATGGGCTCTGAGCCTCGTGCTCCTGTCAGCCTGTTTTAGGCAGGCCATTTGTCGGTCTGGTCTCAGCGTCACCTTTCCTCTTTCTTGCCCCTCAGAAAGTAGGTCTGGGTTAGCAGGCTCTTTAGATTTGCCCCGAGACTGCTTAGAACTCTGTTAAAAGGAGTCCGGCTCCATGCTACACTTGCCAGCCTGCGTGAGACCCCCCTCGGGCCCCTTTCCTCTGGTTCACAGCCGTCCTCTCCCCTGGCTTATTTACCCCTATTCATTTTTTTTTTAATACGTAGTGATTTTTGCTATAGGACACATGCACTCACCGGAGAGGCAGAGACAGAACGCAAGAAATCACTCCCCGGGGAGATGGCCACACTGCAGTCCCTTCTCCTCTTGGGGTTTTGGGCACACACACGCTCACCCAGCGTGAGTTTCAAGTCGCTGGGTCAGGGGCTCGAACTGCGGTCAACCATGTGGGAATCCAGTGTCTTAACCATTACGCCACCTGCTGGTCCCCTAAAAAGTAATCTTTTTAGTTTTCTCCCTGTCCAAGGCACTATGTTTTGTGCCACAGGGACTAATGAAGAAGAAGAAAGAGAAGCAGGAAATGGCCCCTGCTCCCGGTGAGGGGGGTCCAGAAGGCTGGGACCAAAGGCGCCGGCCTTCTGCCGGGGGGAGGGCTTCTGCTGGCGGAGTCAGGAAGCAGGCCACAAAGGAGGCAGCATTTGCACCCAGTCCCGCCCAGATAGTGCTGCAGTCAGCGTTGGGGGCAGGCCACGGGTGTACTGGCCT